TAGGGGCGCTACAGTCGTAACTGTCCAGTGGCAGTGAAGTGTAAAACTGAAGTCGGCCTGCTGACAGCTCGCCTATGGCACCCCTTTTTTAAATCTCTCTTTTAGCGCCGCGTAAAAAAACTAATACAAGCCATTAACTAAATAAGCTGTAAATCAAAGAGTAAAATCCGGTCACGTGATTTTCCCGTGTTGCAGTCTTTGAGAAGTTTCAGTTCAGGGTGTTTGAAGTTTTGCCTCGACAAAATGCTCAAAAATGTCAGGGAAGTACTGGTTTCAGTTTTTTAAAATTTATATCGAATAAAGTTTATGAAATTTGCAATATTATGTAAAAAAATCATGAAAATTAAACCATGCGAAGTATAGTTTATTTGATGCGCAATATTTATAGTGCTTGATCTGCACGGAAGCCATCCCAGCCATGTGCTTGTGCGGTCGCCAATTTGGGTTTGTTTCCAGGTCATTAGATTAACATACAGCCATAATTGCCCTAATTGGTCGCAAGCAATTTGAGCTGCAGCTACAGCTGAGTGATCACCGCTGGTCAGTAGTGACAGGTTTTAAGCTGAAAAGTGTGGACCTTTTGGTGCATTTTTGCAGTTAAAAAACTTCAATATCTTTGTTGCTTGTAGGAATATTAAAAAAATTCCAAGTGATTTCATCCGGTTTTTGCATTACCTTTCAGATGATATAAGTATTATAATTTTCTGATCAGTTTGAAAAATTTTCTGATATACCTACTAATGAACCCTTGATTAAAAAATCAATGAAAATGTTACCACTTTTCGAACCAGTGAACCTTCGGACCAATGAAACTTCGGACTATCGAGACGCCCCCATACACACAGCTTCAAAATCATCAGTAGAATAAAAGGGGCATTGTTCAAAGACACCAAATACCGTAATTTAGAAAACGCCAAAGACCTATTGGGGGATGGAGGTCGGATACTAAGTCTCAACTAAGTGACACGTGCTGATACTGTGGGAGGTGAATATTTCATAATTTAAAAATATACCTGGTTGATGAACTGTTTTTCCTCTTCATCTAGGTCGTCACCATCATCTCCAGACCAGAAATCATCTTCCATATCTTCTTCATCGTCACCTTCTGCTTCATTTCCACTGACATTTTTGTCTTCCGCAAGCGCACGCTTTTTGCTGGGGGCAGACATATTTGTTTTACAAACGAGATTAACAGCAGACGAACTGAAAGCAAAAGGTAATTAAAAGTGAAAGAAGACGCTTCATTCAATAAACACTTAAAAATAAGAAAACTAATGGTAAGTAAGATTTTTCACATAGGGCTTACCATTAATCAACCTTTAAGTATCGTAAACCCAAAATTAACAACTCTAGCTTAATTCCCGTAAACGGCCTTGAAAACGCGAGGTCACGAGGTTTCACTAAAATGAATTCTTCCTGTCGGCGGGAATGCTAAGTGAAAAGAACACATAAAGGGGTTAAAAAGACATGGCTTCGGGAACAAGAAAATCGGGTCGGTTTTCTTCGGAAGCCCCAGATAACACTATAGCCGATATATGGGTTGTAAGTGGAAAACATGCTGTTTAATTTTGTTGCATCTTAAACCGGTAGACACGAACTTCATAGGCATAGTTTACACCGAGTTTACACTTCTGTGAAAATTTCAGTATGCAACTACTAAAAAGGTTTTCATATTATAGTACATTGAATTCTAAGTATATAATAAAGATATACAGTATATATTTGTTTAATTTACATCTAAGAGAGTACTCACAAGGTCTAAAGAATTGCCAAACGTTAATCTTCTATAATCAATGATCATACTAAAGTGTTCAGTACAGTGCAGTTCACTAGAGAAAAGAAATCCGGAGGCCAGGAAATGCTGAAAATGATCATTTGCAAGAAAAAGGATGAGATGATAGTGAAATATATTACTGACTATCAATATAAATCACGTACTGTATAAATCCTCGTGCCTCTTCTTAAATGTCTGATTGGAGGGTGACCTGCCAATTTATAAACAAACCATACAGATTTGTAGTTGTATCAACAGTCATTTTCTCCAGTGTACCATTGTGATGTATTGGGCATTATAGTGTAAGCGGGATAATAACGACAACTGGGGTTTTCAGATAAGTTTATTCTTGGTAATCAAAATAAGAATTAAAATAAGACTAAAATTAAGGCTTCCAGAGAATCCTGTGCTTTCATAAAAGAATAAACCCGCTTACGGCACATCAAAGACTAACATCAAACAGAACAAAAACTACACATCAAAAACGCCGAGCGCGTCACGGCCTCCACGAGTGTGCTGCGTCGTGTGCGGCCGATGACGTGGCTCACGACGTTCTGCGTCGTCAGTGGCGACGACGACATTGCATCAAAAATGTACAAGACAAAGAACAAAACAGGGTACAATAGCATGACCTAAAAATCAATTCTCCATTCAGTACTCCCAGCGCCAGGCTGCAGGACAGTTTGACCCAGAAGAAATGAACAGAAATATTGACAGAAGAAGGCAGCTGAGAAATGAAGGGTGAGTATCATATGAACATGCTGTATCCTACTGAACAGCAAATTAATTTAAAAAAAGCAATCAGTTGGTGCAGATCTCCTGCCAAGGCAACTCAATTGTTATTTTTATTCATAAGTTAATGGATCACCACCAAAATCTTATTGCTTATATGTTAACCCATTTCTGACATATTCTGAAATTTAGCAAAAACCAACCATATTTTTTTAGTTAGGCCGTTAACTATCAAACCTATAATGGCAAAAATTACCTGAGCAAAGGTTATTATGTTGGTGGATATGTATATATATATTATTGCTCAAATTTCCACCAACTGTATATTTATACATATATAGGGCTCCTTGTTTTTCACTTTAATTAAAGAAAACACGTAAAAGTGTGATTATGAATAAACAAGAGCTCTCATTTAACACTTTAAAAAAATTAAATAAGTAAAATATCTTAGTTTAATAGTTGTCTTTCTTTTCCAAGGTGGTACTAGGTAAATTGATTCTCTTTTCTTAATAGCTCAAACAGACAGTCATTTGGAACTCTGCTAACAGAAAATCAGTCGCCAAAAACAAGAAGTCAACAGAGAAGTGCTAATGTTAATGTACAGAGATGTATCCTTTATGTTGAGAAAAAAAATGTTACATATTCTACTATCACCTGTTAAGACTAGGAATAATTAAATATAAATGCTCTTACTTTCATTACAAAAACCTAAATATTTTAAAGGGATATAAAAATTTGTATTCTGCACAGTCATTGTATAAGAACTTGAAATTAGATTGTCAACATAATTGAACAGAGTGTTTAAAACAAATAAAACAGTATGGGTGTAGGTTTCATAGTTGTATCCTTGACCAAGTATTTTCCAGCTTTACAGTTGCTTGATGAGGCTGTGGGGACTCCTGGGCCTCTGCTTAGATCTGCCAGGAAAACTCCCCTTAAACATAGCTCATGTAAGTTTACCTTTGTAAACATCTTATTTTCAGGTAGCTGTTTTACCAAGATGAAAATAAGACTTAAAGTAAAGGATTTTATTTGTTAGGAACATTTTATCAAAATAAAAATTGTTTAAGTATACACCAAGAAGAGTATTCACACATATACATGCTATCATGCGTGCACATATGTGTGCTAAAGAGTGTAGTCAAATGTTAGCCATTATTTCTGGCTTTTCACATGTCATTACTTTTATTGCTGATCATATAAAACAAAGAATCAGAATAAGTATAAATTAAGTAATTTAGCAGTGCACTAACTGTACACAGACAGATTGCACCTAGTATCTTTTATGTCATTTATCATTAGACACTCCTAAGCCCATTCCTACATCTGCCAAGTTTGATGTCTCTGCCACACTTGGTGCCACACCAGGACAGTCCATGATGATGGAGACTCCTATGTCCCTCTCACAGGTATTATCTTATTGGTATATTTTTACTGTGATACAAATTAAATACAGTCTTGTAGAAATCTGTGAGAAATTTTCACATCTATTTTAATATGACACCCTAGCAATTTCTTTTGATCAAAAATTTATATATAATTTTGCATCAGTGCTATTCATACTCTTATTTTGATCTGTAAATGATTTTATAATTTTCTATTGTTTAGGTATCTAGAGTAGGTGAAAGTTTCAATGACAGCTTGGGCTTCACTCCATTAAGAACTGGTGCTCAAGAGGTAAGTCTTGAAACTTAAAAAAAGATCATTTGATTTTTTAACCTAAGTCCAACTTTTTTTTTTTGCCTTTAAACGTATTTAATCTCTTTATCTTTCATGAATAAGACAACGTGAAAATCACAATTCAAAATTCTTCAATGCAAAATTGTAAAAAGAGGTAGCAAGAATTTTTTGAATGACCCTGTGAATAGAATTTTTTCTGGTAACCTTTGTAATCTCATTTAACATTCTTTGTCTACTGAGTGAGATTCAATAGCTCTTGTCCTAAACTGACGTAATTTTGTTGATTTTTTTTTTTTTTTTACTCTACAGCCTCATGGTATGGATGAGGACATTACCACCACCAATGTCGCCTTGCTTCTTGAGGAAGATCCAGGACTTGCAGGTAACTAAATATTGTAAAAATGAAACTTCTTATTCCACACTCTAAGCATGTGATATTTTCAAGTGACACTCAGATGTATTGAATTTTTACTTCATTGTTTTATTATCGACTGTTGCTATTCTCTTGTTATATCATTGTACCAGTGACTTATGTGCGATTTGTATGAAATATTTCAGCATCAACAGGGTTATTTGGGGATTTTCTCCAGGCTGTCAAAGATCACCCTGCAGAACCTCAGGTGTTTGATCTGATAAAGAGCTATACACAGGTCTGCAGTGAACAAGTTGTTCTGCTTAAGAAATTAATTAACAGAGCCACTCCTGGGCATTCTAGGTAAGTGCTTCTTTGCACAAAGGTTGATGTAGTGAGATGTATGAGAGTAATTTATTTTTCTTATAATTTTTTCATACTAAACCTTATGTAATTATGTTAAATTATGTTTAATTAGATAATTGCAGGCTGAAAAGGCGATGTTAACAAATGCTATAATAAAATAACTATTTTTATTAATGATAGAACCCTGGCTTCCACAAACACATATGGATTAAAGTAAATCTTGAATGAAACTGTCTCTCTTGAATCATATAGTATTTTTTTATTGCTATAGTGTATATTGAAACTAGCATTGTTAAAAATTTCAACTTATCTCGTTTTATTTGTAGATTCACTAAAACCATAGATGTGTTGAATATACTTGAACAGGAGAAGAACACATGGGCTTTGGTTGGGTCTCTGTTTCGAGACCGCCTGGAAACTGAGGTCAAGGGGGATCAGGAGGATATGATAGTGGACCAACTGGTCAGTAGCATACTTCCTGTCCATCAAATTGTATTTGTGATTATGCATATTTACTTTGCCTAGGTAAAGCAGAGTATTTTGCATTTGCTTAGTACATATTTATTGATCATGTGGTTTTTTTACTAGACATAGTAAAATTTAAGTTTAATTAAATTAAAAATATGATTAGTGACTGTCACATCTGGGTGTTATGCAAAATTGTCATTGGCAGATTTGATTATTGAATATTTTCCAACACAGGGAAAAAAGATGAGTGAGAAAGAAATCGTGGACAGACTATATGAGACAGACCACAGTTTAAGGCAGGGTCAGCTGGTGATTGACTGGTTAGAACAAGTGGCTGCTGGAGAGCTGGAAAACTATTATGACAAAGTGGAGTTCTTTTCAGACCAGTCTGTTACATGGTAGGTTTGCCAAACATACTTGTGTTTTAGAACTGTGGTGACATAGCTTTTCAATTGAAAATGTGAAATAATGAATAATATATTTTTTTGCTGGATTTTATCACAATGCAAAAGTGAATTAAGCATTTTCATTCAATTTATTAGTTTAAATGATGTTTTGTACACAAGGTAGACTTCTTAATGAAGAATTATGTAAAATGTTGTTGCTAACTAAAACCATATTTTCAGGGAGAACACACTTCATTCCTTACAGCAAAGAGCTGGGGCTGTTCCTGCAGGCTACAACAGACCAATTGTGGATAAAATGGTTAGAGGAAAAAAATATCTGAAAATTATCTCAATTTAGAATATTTTCACTAATGTAAAATGTTCCACCAGGGACAGAGTAATTATGTTATAATGTATCAGGCATGTTTACATCGTGGATGATTTTTTTTTTTTTTTTTTTTTTTTTTTTTTTTTTTTTTTTTTTTTTTTTGTAAGGTCACATAAGCATAGATTGAATATTTGTAATGATTGTTCCTCTGATGTTCATTGTAAATTTGCACATACAGATTGAATAGCTTGTCATTTGTTGATCTTAGGACCCTGATGCTCCAGTCAGACAGAAACGACCTCTAGCTGACCTTGACCAGGAAGACGAGGGCCGTCTACTTAAATACATCTTTGTTTATATCAGGGCTGGGCAATTAGATGAGGTAATTTAGTTAATTTTTCACACACATTGCAAAGTCATGTCATTTCAAAAAGATTTTTCCATTTCTTATTGTGCTCTTGTTGTCATTTGATGGAATGAATAGATATGCAGCTATGTTAAAAATTGAGTTGCTTTGTGAAAAATAACTTTTCCTCATAATGTCAAATAAATGTACCTCACTTGAATTTTTACGTTGCAGTGGAAAAGAAAATGATATATGATTGTCTCCATTTTTTCTAGCTTCATCATAGAATGCAATGGTTTGTTAAAAACAATTATATATATTCTTCTATGACCCTTTAGTAATATATTTTAATACTTTCTTATTTTGACTGTAGGCTCAGCGTCTGTGCTCTAAGTGTGGCCAGGCATGGAGGGCAGCTACTCTGGAGGGGTGGAGACTGTACCATGATCCCAATTACCACAGCCTAGGCCCAGGGGGTGAGGTCTCTGCTGTGGAGGGGAATCCATACAGAGATGTGTGGAAGGCAGTGTGTTGGAGGATGGCACAGGAGGTAAGAGATGGAGCATTGCCAGGTGATGTTTCTCTTTAATGTCAACTATAATTTTCAAAGGGTCAAAGAAGGTTTTAATGTATGTATTTGTTTGTTTGTTTGTTTGTTTGTTTGTTTGTTTGTTTGTTTGTTTGTTTGTTTGTTTATTGAATAGCAAATATTTCATGGATAGCAAATATTGCTCCCTTTTTACCATCAAAAGTATTGATTGCTTTAATAAAAAAAATTAGGCTACCACCACATGTCATAGTAAGTGCACATTTTGCAGCATTTGCATAGTTAACTTATATACAAAATTGAAAAATAAAAATGTTTAAGTATTTTTCCATAAAAACAAAACAATCTTTTTTTTTATCATATGCAGCCCTGAATAACAGTACAAGCTTAAAAATCACTTAAAGGACATTTTTTTTCTAAGAAGGCCACATTTGCATAGGTTTTGATATCGTTTGTGTTAATGTGCCTACAGGACAGATTTAACCTGTATGAGAAAGCCACATATGCAGCACTGAGTGGTAACCTGAAAGAGCTTCTTCCTGCCTGTGAGACATGGGAAGATTGTCTGTGGGCCTACTTCAAGTGTATGGTGGATGCCAGGGTGGAGCAGGAGATCAGAGTGGCCACTATGACTGACAGACCTCTGGAGCAGCTGCCGGGAGCCTTCTGGGATAAAATGCATGTTTCATTATTATTTGAAAAATGATATATAAGAGTGTAATTGTTTGTGAACCAGTTAGATTATTTTGTTATTGGACTGCTGTTGAAGCTGTTTATGTTAAGACAGTGGTTCTATATGAGAACATGTGTCATCAAAAAGGATTTTAGGAGCCTATCTTTTGGATGGCATTTCCCTCTTAAGTGTATTTCAAAAGGATGCACAAACTGAAATACTTATTTTTATCATTAGATGGTCGTGCATACTTGGGAAAGACCATAAGCAACAGAAACTCGACTATATTTTTTATTTTATTTATTTATTTTTTATTATTATTATTTTTATTTTTTTTTTTTTTGGGGGGGGGGGAGAATTTGAAAATTTTATTGGTTTTAATAGCACAATTGGAAAGGTTACTTTCAAGACTTTATGTTGAAAAAATTTTTTCATTAGGTTAACACCACAGGCAATATTTCAAGAGATTCAAGCAAGTGACAATGATGTAAGTTTTGATCCTTTCTAAAATTGTTTCTGTATCATGTATAAATACAGGAATGCTGTTATCACCAACTGTCATTTATGTAACATATATTCATATATTGATTATATTTATGAGTTCAGGATATTGTTAGTGCACATTAGAAGTGGTGGTCTTTATCATCAAGAATGGTGAAAATCTTAATTTATATGCATTGATCTGTAGATGTTCTTAACTCCTTAGCATATATTACTCCAAATGCAAGAAATATTCCTGTTTATTAGCAGATAACATTTTTGAGTCAAAATTTTTATGGGGCTTTGTGCAAACCCAGAACATAAAATGTTATTGGTTTCTCTTAATCAGCTGTCACAAAAATGTTTCAGGAGGTCAGATTGGAGGCAAATGAAAAATACCATATAATTCAGAAGTATGTCATACTAGATGATGTGCCAGGTAAGATAATACAGCAGGATGTCAAAATGATTGATTGAAAACATGGGTTGTATCCCATAAACTAATTTCTCATTAATTTCATGCTGTATGAATTTTTGTAAAGAATGTTATTAAATGAATAATGAGTGTATTTTCTCACTCACCGTGCTTGTTGTTGAAAGTGTATGCTTTTTGGGCATTTTTCCCATTTTTAGATTTGGTTAATATTACTGCCATTTGTTTTTGTTTAGATTATGGCTAACTGATAATGTATTGGTTTACTTAGGTTTAATAGAAGAGATGTACAGCTGGTTGTCAAACTCTGGCATTAAGCCTCCACACCATCTTATCCGCTTCATGGCACACTTGGTACTCTTCCTCAGGACTATAGGAAAAACCACTAAAGTAAGTGTTGATTCCTGTCTTATAGAAGTCCTGCAAGAAGTAGTTGGTTTTAGTCTATACTATTACACCAAATGTTTGTTTTTGGTCCATTTTATTTCTTGGGCTAATGATTGAGGAGACAATCTTTCTTATATAAATGTACCAATTATTTAGTTACACTGCTCTTTTATGTAAGTAGACAATGTTTTGTTTCCTTTATTCACTCTTGTTCATTCTTTCCAGGAAGAGATGTGTACTTTCATCCTAGAGAGCTATGTGATGAGTTTGATAGAGGAGAAACACACCACCCTGGTTGCACATTATGTGTCCACTCTGCCTCAGGACCTACAGCTGGAGTGGTATGCTAGGTTTTTACAAGGTGAGAGCACCTGCTGCTTTTATCCTAATTTGTGAGTCAGTGCTGAAAGTGACAACCTAAGTAATAACATACCTGTTTCATAAGAAGACTATCAAGAAGACTAACATAATTAAGGAACTGAAAAATTCTGCAGCCACTGCATTTATTTTAGCACAAACAAAAATTTAGATTTTCAAAAAATTATCCCTATTCATAAAATGTAAAGGTGAAACTTGAGTGCTGTTTACGAAATGGATATTAATTTAACTAAAATCATCTCTATAAGCAATCTGAAGCCACATATTCAACACCATATCATCCTCCCTATACTACAGGTATAGAGGACAGGGAAGCCAGGCAGCAATGTTTGGCACTAGCTGAAGAAGCTGGACTGGACATTCCCAATATAACCAAATTAGTGGTGGAGAAAATAAGAACAAAGGGGCCTGATTTTAAGATTGACCGGGATGCTGCATTAGAAGCTGCTACTACAGAGGTGTGTTTGTGCTTTATATATCTATTACATGGGGATAACAATGAATGTCATTTCAGCACATTATGTAGGCTGTTTGTGAAGCACAGACTTTTATCCTAAATTGAAGGATGTTTCTTAAGACTTAGAAATTACATGTTTTGATTACATTTCTTTCATTTTCTCTTTGAAATGTCAAAGTAAGATGAGGTATCTGTCGCTATCATATTCATCTCATCTATTCTGATTAGTATGTCAAAGTAATCATGTTATCAAAAATTTACAGTATTTGTTTTGTGTTGTAGGAAGACCATCAGAAGATAGAGGCAATTGATTGGCTGGTGTTTGATCCATCCCAGAGAGCAGAAGCTGTACGGCAGGCCAATGCCGTCATGAGGACCTTCATAGGTAATGCAAAACAGAGTGTCGAGTTTAAGAAAGAAAAGTACAACTCAGTCCATAGTAAGAAAGAGTCTCTTGACAATTACAACTAATGTTTTTTGGGCTCAATTTTAATTGAGCTTCCAACAGTTGGCATTCTTTCTTTCAACTTTCTGACAAATAAAGCTTTGTATCTTTTGTTAAAGTGAAAACACCACTCATTTGTCTAAAGCATTTCTTTTTGTGCGTGTGCCTGGGTGCGTGTGTGTGTCATCATATTTGTTCACACTTGATTATAAAAGAGAATATGAAGAGTTTTATTTTAATACATGTTACATATCTACAGCCTTGAAGAAGCATGCTGCAGCCAGAGAAGTGTTCAGTAAAATACCCCCTGGGTCCATAGATATAATATATAGAAATTGTCAGATGCAGGTTTGTGTTTACATTAAATGAGTTACACGTATTGAAGTGTTAGAAGACTGATACTTATATAATTCAAAGTTTTTCATTGACTTATCATCTTTCACCTCAGAAAATAAAGAGGAAGTAAAAATGAAGAACAAGTAAATAAAGAAAATTTGCTTCTTCAACTATCAGAACAATAATTACATAAGATTTATTTATTTAATTTATTTAATTTGAATTTATTGTAATATTTTCCTTTTTTTATCAAGCATGGCACCACAGAGTTACCAGCAGAAGATGACAATGCAATCAGAGAATACTTGTGTCACAAGGCCTATCTGGTGAGTGAAAAGGAGATTAAATTGATGGATATAGTATGTTATTTTAAAGTGTATGAAGAAATTTAAATTGAATTGTGTTGCTTATTTGAGTATAAATGAGTTTTATGGATACTGATGTGGGCCTCAATTTTTCTGTGATAATTTGCTGACTTGCAAAAATATTGTGTCATGTATCTGATCTCCAAGGTACCACATAATTTTTAAGTGATAGTTTAAACAAAATGTTGACTAGAAATGAGTTTATAGTAAACACCATGCAGATAGTTTTGTGGCAAAGAGACTAGTATTTCTTCATCACTTTAGGATGCCCATGATTCTTTTAATGACTGGTTTGAGCACTACCACAATGCAAAGCCCAGTAAGCCAGATGTTCCTCAAAAAGCCAGCTTCACTGAGAGGGTGGCCTTTGAGCACAGGGAGAAACAGTATGAGGCAGATATGGATAGGTGGCGCCGCTCCCTAGAGTTGCAAACCAAAGTATGTGGGAATGTAGCTTGTACTTTACTATCTTACTTAGTTGCTTTTATATCAAAGTTGAAAGTACTTTTATGCAGGGGGTCAAAAAAAATCCAAGAATTTTCATGTTTTATAAAAGTGAATAGAAAAAAAATACAATTTGGAAAGAGTTTATGCGAAACTAAGAACCTGATAAGCTATTCATTTAAAAAATCTAAAACAGTGCCAACTAAGGTTTTTGCTTCATATAAATGAAAAAAAAAAGTAAAAAAAAAGTCAGGTCAATACACTAAATAATGGGGTAATGATAATATTCTCTACAATTATCCCTCTTCTTTCAGACCACAGTGGAGAGAATTTACAATGTTTTACTATTTGTTGATGGAGGATGGATGGCAGATCAAAGACAGGTTGGTATGGAGGGTAAAGATTGATCAGTGAGACGGGAGGGGACTAAAGAGGCTGGGACAGACTGTTAAAGGTTAAGTTGAGAGCTGTATATAGGGGTGAGATGGGCAGAAAACGGTTGGGAGACTTTTCAAAGATGTTAAGCATGTTGACTGTACTGTAAGATTTTTTTCCTTGATACGTAACTGAGAGATCTTTTATTCATTAAGTTTATGGCTATTTTTAAGTGTTTATAAAATGATGTAAGTCTTGAGTATTCAAAACCATACTCGTAAAGATAAGTGTTAGACTCTATGTGTACCACCTCTCACAAGAAGCTGAAATAATAAGTCACTTAAGATAAGCAGATGATCCCAAAGGTTATCATGTACTCATAGTGGCACCCTTTGACCTTGTTCTGGTTGTAAAGTAAGTCAACGCATGCAGACATATATCAAGTGTTGATTGTTTTGTATTCGGAATCACATCACTTCGTGTTGTTTCTATACTGCGTCTTGTCCAAAACATCTCTGAAATGCTAGCTCAAGTCTTTAACTATTAGAAACTGGATCAGGAATGTGAAATTTATTACTGACAGTAGTAAGGAATCCTCTTAAATGGGTTTTGTCCTAGAACATTTTTTT